CCAGAGCTCCTCAAATCTACAATAGTAGCAAATGAAAGAAAATAAATCATAATGAACACGTTAGTTAAATTAAATTAAAATCTTCTAAGCAAAGTGGCAAAAATACTGCTGTATGTCAATATGAATGCTTTAAAACTTCAAAGCAAAATTATCTATATACCAAAAATAATGTGATATACAAAAATCCAAACTTATGTTAAATAAATCAGGGAAACAGCTATTAATGTTACTCTGGAGTTCTTCTGACTTAAAAAAAGATTGGCCAAAGTGTTCTTTTATACACAGGATTTTAAGTTTCATGGTTCTTTACTTCTTTATTCAGAAACTTAAGGCTGTACTACTAATAAAAATGTAGTATCTTTTCAATTATGACTGAAGTTTATGCAAAAGTATCATAAAAATTTAATTTACACTCTACTTTTCCAGAAATGTCCTTTATGTACCTTTTACAAATTTAAATTGCTAGTGATTGAGAAATTCTAATTCAACTGGCAATATACTGGACACTTTTGGAGCTTTAGACAATAAAATGTTATCTAACTCCTTTTAAAACACATACAAAAAATTCACACTCATAATTCTTAAGACCTTCACGCATTTTCCTTATCCAAGTGCTACCACCGTATCTTGGATTTGTTCCTTTATCAGGTTTGATTAATATTTGCTGCCACCTAGAGGTAAAAATAGTTTAAAGATAATTAACTGAGAATTCTCTGGAAGGGTGGACATGAAGCTGATGAATAGTGATTTCCACTGGAGAGGGAAACGGGGCATGATTTTTTTCTTCTTTATCTTGGGTATGTTCAACACCTTCAAATGATTTTTAAGATAGTCAGCTTAATTTTCTTGCTGCAAGGTTAGTAAGCCTAAGGGAGAGTTATTGGTATCAGTTACATTTTCTTTTCTCTAGATGAATTCCAAGTTAGGTGAGGAATGTAGTTTTACAAGATGTAACTATAGCTACTACTACCTGTCTCGTATTGCTATTTTGATTTTATAAGAATATATGTATGATATTTAGATAAAATCTGAGGTTATTTCCAGGGCTTAGAGTCTAAGATTTCATGGCATTTCAATTTCTAAAGCTTATTTCTTTTTTCAGGAGGAGCTCTGGTGGCGTAGTGCCTAAAGCACTTGACTGCTAACCAGAAGGCTGGCGGTTCAAACCCACCAGCTACTCCTCGGAAGGAAGGTTGGGCAATCTACTTCCGTAATGACACCGCCTTGGAAACCCAAGGAGGGGTCACGATGAATCAGATCCAACAAGCATAAAGCATAGTACAGAAAAGAGTACATTTTCACATTCATTTGATCTCTAAGTAACTCCGATATGTGCCAGGACAGAGAAGGCAAAGATGATCTGCTGAGTGTCACTAAGTGTCAGGCATTTCAGAACCCTTCTGGGGTCTGTGTCATTAGCCTCACTCTCAGATGAGGGTCTACCAGAGCTCAGGAAGACTGAGTCAGGGGTATAGGATCACACAACCAGGCAGTGTCTGAACTGGAATCCATATCTTAGGTCTGTCTGATTCTGAAACACCTGTGTTATTTCTAGCATTACTACTTTGGTTGCAACTTGTTGTACCTTTATGAAGAAGGCAGGGCAAGTATTCCTATTCCATTCTATAGCTAAATTAACTGAGATTCAGAAAGATAAAACAAGTCGCTCAAGTTCATATCAATAGCTAATAAATGGCAGGAATGGATATCCAGACTTCAAATCCCATGTTCATTACTCTTCCCATCAAGCTAATATTTTGTAAAGTACAAAAAAAAAAAAAAAACCCACTGGAAAGAAAATGCATACTTAACAAATTTTCAACTGCATTTATTTATTTAATTATGGGGTTTACTAGTTATCTACTCTAAAGAAATTCATTTATTTGGACATGAAATTATGTCAGTAAGCCTATTGCTTCTGGACTTCTAAAGAATATTTTTACTAAACAATTACCTCCAGTAAAATGCACAAGTCTTAAGGGTACAGCTTGAGAAATTTTTGCATATGCATATACCCATATAACCACCACCCAGATCCAGTGTTTCTAGATTTCCTGGACATTTTAATAAGGTACACTATTAAATTTTAAGCCCAGGTGTAAGGCAAAAGAATCTCAACAGCCCATAAAAAGATTTTTATGACATAAATCAAGTCAGTTAAGATTGTAGAAATCCCTAATATTTTTTTGCCATAACTGACTATAAAAGGAAGAGCATCAGAGTCACTGTGGGAGACGCTTGGGGACAATCCACATACCCTCCTATGGGGCTCTAGATCCTATGCTATCACAAGGAAGTATTTCTTTTTTGTGCCAAGTGCATGAGATTAGCTACTGTGACTATCTTCTGAAGTTCTTAAACTATGAAATAATCCTTTCTCATAAAATAGAAATGCCTGCAAAAAGGAAGAAACATGATATTTGCAAATACTTGTTAAAAGTGAGAGTCTCTTCCCACTTTTTTCCTGTTTAATGTTTCTATTAGAGACCAAGAAAAAGCCTAGTCTCCACAACATCCTTTAACTGTCCCAAATGAGGTAAAGTTATAGCTGATGTCACCACTGTCCTGAGGAGGATAATTTAATTAATGGCTACCTGGTTCATTCATTTACTCAACAAATATTTACTGACTGCTTACTATGTAGTGCCTAAGGCATTTGACTGCTAACCAGAAGGCTGGCGGTTCAAACCCACCAGCCACTCCTCGGAAGGAATGTTGGGCAATCTACTTCCGTAGTGATATCGCCTTGGAAACCCAAGGAGGGGTCGCTATGAGTTGGGGCCGACTCGACGGCACATAACAACAATGACACAATACTATGTGCCAGGCAGTATCCTCATGGCACTCACATCCTAGAAAAGAAGGTAATCTGCGTTATGCTGACAGAGGTTCCCTGACCCTTTGCCATCCTATCCCAGGCCAAGTAAATGGAATCTGAGCCTGATCAGTTCAGACAGTGTGGTGTAGTAAATTACATAGTGTGGCTTTTCCAGCCATAAGTCTTTGTAAACTCCATGATAGAATTTGCCATGAGAAACTGAGTAGCTCCTGATTGTTAAAGTTATCCACCTGGGGTATTTCTGTTGAGCATAGCACAAGTACTTTTCTGGGAAGTTCACTCTCTTTCGGGTGTATAGAATTCTGATGTTGGGATTGGTTATTTGGCCACTCTGCCAGACTCAAAAGGAGTCTCTCTGACTGCTGGCTGAAAAAGACGTGCTGCTGAGAGAAACATGCTCCTGAGAGACATGAGACACAAATGCTGCTGAGAAGAGACACGAGAGACATGCACTGCTGTGAGAAATGCAAGAGATACGCACTACTGAGAAAGACCTTGAGAGACACACACTGCTGGGAGAGAGACTGAGAGAAACTGTCAGCTGAGAGATGGCAGGCTGAGACTGAGTGTTGTTCTTGAACTTGAATTGTAGTCTGGTGCTTTCCTAATAAACCCCATAATCTGTGAGTTCTGTGTGGCCACTGCAGTGAATTATTGAACCCAGTAAAGAAGTGGTAGGTGCTGTGGGAGGAATGGTTGGTGTCAGGGTTGGTGAAAGGGCTACAGGGAGGCAGCATGTCTGGCCTCACAGGGATAGGCCTTGGGCTACTGATGGTGATTCTGTCTTTCTCTTTTAGGGTTAGAAGAGGTCAGAAGATGCAGCCTCTTTGCTTCTTTGGCAGAGAGTTAAAGAATCTTTAGGGAGAGGGCAAGAGTAGTGTGGGAAATAGCTGGATATTGTTTAGCAGTGGATTTTATAGGAAGCAGAGGAATCTAATGGGAGATAGATGGGGCAGTCTGCTTCCATGAAGATCTACAGCCTTGGAAACCCATTGGGACAGTTCTGCTCTATCCTACAGGGTTGCTATGAGTCAGAATTGACTTGATGTCAATGGGTTTGGTTTGGGTGAAAGAATTTAAACTTGTGGCTATTTCCTGAAGTCTTATCTTGTTGCAGTCTAAACAATCAAAGTAAGGCCTAGTTCAGAGAAGTGACCAAAAAAAAAAAAAAAAAAAACAGTTGCTATTGGGTTGACTGGCTTGATTTCAACTCCTGGTGACCCCAGGTGTGTCAGAGCAGAACTGTGCTCCACAGGGTTTTCTATGGCTGATTTTTCAGATGCAGGTTGCCAAGCCTTTCTTCTGAGATGCCTCTGGGTAGACTCAAACCACCAACCTTTTGGTTAACACCAAAGTACTTAACCCTGTGTGCCATTCAGGGACTCCAAACCAGTTGCTGTTGACTTGATTCTGATTCATGGTGACCTCATGTACAATTAATTGCACTCTATAAAGTTGTTTTTTTTTTTCTTTTTTACAACAATCACGCATTATTTATTTTAGAAAAATAGCTATTTCTGTTTTTTTTTTTTTTTTTTTATTGTGATTTGGGTGAAAATTTACAGAGCAAATTCACTTTCCATACAGCAGTTCACATATACTTTGTCTCATGACATTGACTACAATTTACCCCAATGCAACAGCTCCCCTCTCACTTCTTCCCCATAGTTACCTCTTTCCTATGTCCAGCCCTCCATGCACTCCTGCCCCCTGAGCTGTCTCCCTGTGCATAAGCAGCCCTTCTTTCTCCCCTGATTGTTCTCTCCAAGGAGTGTATCTCCCTCAGGTAAATGTTCAACTCATATGCCTGTCTTTTGTTTGGCTGGAAGCCACAGGTGTGGGTTCATTAATTGCACTCCATAGAGTTTTAAATGGCTGTGATCTTTCAGTCCTCATAAGAAAGGTATGGCGATCTACTGCCTAAAGCTCACAGTCATTGAAAACTCTATGGAGCACAGTTCTACTCTAAAACACATGGGGTCGCCATGAGTTCAAACTGATTCAATGGCAACTGGGTTTTTATTGTTTTCTTTCAAGGGTGCCTCTGGGTAGGCTTGTAACTGTCAATCTTTCATCTGGTAGGTAGACCCTTAACTGTGCCACCTAGGGTCCCCTCAGAAAGGGGAGGCATCCTTAATGTGGCAGCCCACAAAGCACTTACCGGTTTTTGGAGTCGTCCAGCAATATACAGGTTATTCCAGGTAAGGAGATCCTCAATCAGAATACTAGTGCTAATAACCCCATACTTGATAAGCTAGAAAAGAAAAGAAATGGGCATGGAAAAGAGCAAACTACTACACTGTAATGTAGGCACTCTAAAAAATAAAAGGAAACAGATCAAATTCCTACCCAGAGTAGTACCTTGATTTCCAAAGCCACTTAAAATGCCTACTTTGTAGAAACTAGGGCTTTGAACCAGTTCAGATATTGCCAACATAGTGAAATCAGAACAGACTCAAATTTGTAAAATGTGGGTACACCAGAACAACAATCAGAACAACAATTGTGGGTCAAAGTCTGCAATCAAAGACTTGGAAGAGGCAGAGTGAGCCCTTTCAGGAGCCTGATGTAGGAGATCGGATTATTGCCAGCACTATGGAGAATGCCACACGTTCAAAGTGGCAAGGTCGGCCACCATCTTCGAGCCAGGCACCAGCTTCTGACTGTGCTGGTCAAGATATTTGGTTGCTATACAACACACTTGGTACCCTTGTTTTCTAATAGGGAGATTAAGTTTCCAGCAGGGCATCGACCCATAATTTTTCCTGGTTATTGTTCTGGTACACTCACATTTTACATTTGGGTTTGTACTAATGTCACTTTGTTGGCTATGATTGAATTGGGAAGAACTGGTTCAAAGCCCTGGTAAAAACACACATCTCCACCAAAACCATTTACACATGTTTTGTACCCAAGACAGACCTGGCTCTTCAGGTATGTGAGGTGTTGGTGTTGTTGTTGTTATTTGCGGTCGAGTCAGACCCAACTCATAGTGACCCCTCCGTGGGTTTCTGAGACAGTATCACTATGGAAGTAGATTGCCCAACCTTCCTTCCAAGGAGTGGCTGGTGGGTTTGAACCGCCAGCCTTCCGGTTAGCAGTCAAGTGCCTTAGGCACTACGGTGAGGTGAGTTGATCACTATGCTAATGATGTTAAAGGCTGAATGGCTTTTAGAGGCTAACTAGTATTGGTCCTCCAGGAATCAGTATTTAAAAAAAACAACAAAAAAACTGTTCCTTCACCACAGATAAACTGAGAAGCAATGATGTAGTTCAGTCTCCTCATTTGGGAAATAAGAAACCCAAGGCCGAGATAGAACACATAATATGCCCAAGGTGACACTATTAGTAGCAGAGCCAAAATCAGGTCTCAGAATTTTAGTCTGGTCTTCCAACATTGTTTTTTACCACCAGGTACAAGAAATTTTCATCAATTAAAAGTTTTCACTGATATCCGTTACATAGTGAATTTCTCTCTTGCTATTGAGTATTTCAAATATTTTATAATTAAAAAACAACATCCTAAAAGAAAACCTCTTTATCAGTGCTAAACACATGGTCATGCTCACTTTAATAGGAAACTGACAAATTCTGGATGTAATTCTTCCAGGTCACAGAATCCCATTTGCATCAGCAAATGCCTCTGGACCCACTGTGATGAGCTCCGATATCCAAACACCATTTTCACGCTGCACATATCTAAAAAGTAGCTAAAGAATTTCAATTAAAAAGTACTGTCCCTTTGGCATATAATTATGCCTAAACCTTTGGTTACTGGAGCTTATAATACTGTTTGAAAACTACTAATTAGAATAGGCTCAGTATAATATTTATCATGGAGAAAGAACAAACCTACATGTCTTGTGTGACTAAAGTGGATGCAGAAGGCTGTGCTAAAAAGCTACCATATTCACTCCACTCTAGACTCAATACTGCAGAAATCCTTTCTTGGCTGCAGCCAAGTAATAACTAGGAGGCAATGGAAACATTACTGGGCTCTAAGTTCAAGGGGAGCATGATGGTTTATTTTATGTGGCAACCTGGTTAAGCTATGATTCCCAGTGCTTTGGGCAAGTAACTAGTTTAGTTGCTATTCCATAATGCAATGTAATATAATCACCTTCCATAAGGTAATCTAATGTAATCAGTTGAAAGGGGAGTTCTCTTAGGGTATGGTCTGTCTTTAGACCATAAATAGGTATTTTGGCATCTCTTTCTCTCTCTCTTCCCATCACCTGATCTTGGGACGAAAACTTGCAGAAGTCTTCAGCCTGCTGCCTGACCTACAGATTTGGGACTTGCCATCCCTTCACAATACTGTGAGCCAATCCTTTGAAGTAGATCAACCAATTTTTTTTCTATATATATATATATAGATAGATAGATAGATATATGTGTGTGTGTGTGTGTGTGTATAGATAGATAGATAGATATAGATACAGATATAGATATTTGGTTGCTATGCAACACACTTGGTACCCTTGTTTTCTAATAGGGAGATTAAGTTTCCAGCAGGGCATCAATCCATAATTTATACACACACACACACACACACAAACATATATATGTACATATACAACATATATACACACGCACACAGATACATAGTGAAAACTGTGAGTGCTAAAATTTGTTGGGACTGCCTTGTTTTTCCAGGTCTCACAAGTTTTCTGCCTTTGACAGGATGCAGTCTTACTACATTTCTGTTACTTTTTTTGTAGAAAATATCTTGAGTTTTCCTTCTCTGACAAGTTTCTACCTTACACAGGTTCCAGCTTTTGCAATTTTTACCATATATGCCTCACTAGTTCTGTTTCTCTAGAGAACCCTAAGACAGGAGGCCCATCACTTACTAGCTGCACAACCTCATGAAATCATTTCCTCACTGCAAACTTCAGTTTCATCATCTGCAAAATGCAGGTGGGGTAAGAGTGGACCACAACCAGAAAAAGCAAATATAGTAAAACCTGCAAAAGCCAGACCTGTGTAATATGGAAACTGGTCAGGAAGGACAACTCAGGTGTCTTCCACTAAAATGAGAAGTAGTAAAGAGGTAAGACTGCATCTTATCCAAGGCAGAAAATTTATGAGACCCCGAAAAACAAGGCAGATACATCAAATAGCTCTAACAGGTTTCACTGTACAAGGCCCACAACTATGCAGATATCATCAATCAACTACAGCACTCATTTCTACTCTTTGAAAATCCTTCTCAAGTCAATACTCTAACCTCCTTCTCTTCAAAGTGTGGTCCTTCAACGAGTAGCATCAGCATCACCTGGGAGCTTGTAAAACCTGCAGAATCTCAGGCTCCATCCCAAACCAACTGAGTCAGAAACTTTATTTTAACAAGACCCTCAAGTGACCTGTACGCACATCAAAGTGTGACTGTTCTAAGCCATTAGGAGCACTGATGAGAGCTAGGAAAGCCGGTGAAATCTGTATGTCATCCCTAGCCTAGCTAATCTCTAGGCAGCATCTACTTAGTCCCCATTGGTTCTCTTTGCAGCTCTTTATCCAAAGAACAGTCCCACAGTGTTCCTGCTGTCAGACAACCCATCTGCTGGGATCCATGCACCTTACCTGTTCTCTAACACCACTATTACTAAATTCTACCCACCAGCTAGCACCAAGAGGTTCCTATCATTTGGCCCCACATGCTGCTGACCACCTGTGATATCCTCCTTACTTCTAATTTCTTCCTAGGGATGTCTGCTCCTCTTTAGAGATATGATTAATCATCACTCTAACCTAAATGGGCTTGCCTATTCCTTCCACTGATCACACCAGTGGTTTTTAACAGATGAACCCCAGACCAGCAGCCTATGCATCACTGAGGAGCTTGTTAGAAATGCAGAATCTCAGGCCCCACCCCAGAAATCTGTGCTTCAAACAAGCACTCCAGGTGATTGTGATGCACACTAAAATCTGAGAACCACTTGGCCAAAGGCAAGCAGCTCTGGTGGCATAGTGGTTAAAGCATTCAGCTGCTAACCAAAAGCTCAGTGGTTTGAACCCACCAGCCACTCTGCAGGAGAAAGATGAAGCAGTCTGCTTCTGCAAAGATTTACAACCTTGGAAACTCTATGGGGCAGTTCTGCTCTGCCCTATAGGGTTGCAATGAGTCAAAATGGACTCAATGGCAGTGGGTTTGGGTTAAGACAAAAATAAAACAGTTAACACCCAACACCTTCTCATACTGCAATCCCAATCAAGGGAAGCTGAAAATTACAGTTACTACTCTGCCCCTGGGTTTAAGACATCCAGCAGGACCTTGAATATTTCGTGACTGCAAGAACACATATATTTAGCTAGTATTCTAGTAGCAAAAGTTAAGGGGTCTATGCAAGTCCCTATCCAAGTCAAGACAAAGGTCTACAGCCACTTACCCTACCATCAACCTTTATCAATGGATTGTAATAAACTCCAGCACCAAAGTTATTCTGGACAGCTGTGATAACCCTGGGTCCCAAAACTTTTAGGAAAGAATAATGGCTCCAATTTTTCTTCAAGTTCTTTGAGTGCCATCCAACAGGGTCATCTACTGTGAACACAAGGTCCAACATGGGATTCTGTGAAGAAAAGAGGATGATCTCAGTATTAATTCCTAGAACGATACCAAGATAAGAGTGGAAAACTGAGTCAAAATCTGCATGATGACTTTACAATTAATAGTCAGAAAACTTGAGATTCTCCTCAGAGATTTAAACAAGTCTTTGGAACTAAACTGAGCTTTGTTTTCATCAATACAAATAACAACAGCAAACATTCTCTTAACATGTATTATGTTATCCCAGGTATTCTTCTAAACACTTCATATATTGTGTAACAGGAACTCATTTTATCCTCAAAACACTATTACTATCCCCATTTTATAGGAAAGGAAACCAAGGCAGAGTAAGGTCCTTGCCCAAGGACACACAGGTAGTGAATGGCAGACCCAAGTAGTATGGGCCCAAATTCCGTGCACATAACCACTACTCTGTGCATGCAGCTACATGTAGCTAAGTATGCTCTACTTCTCTTCCATGTAGAAAAACTCTATGAAATATTACATAAAGGAAAGCAACTTATTTTAGCTCTTACAGATTCACTAAACACTCACTGAGCACTTAAAATGAGTTAGTCCCTCTGCTATGTCCTGGGCTAGGGGTAAAGAGCTGAGTCTATTAGGGGAGAATAGACATTTCAACTGTAAATTGCCTTAAGAGGATGTAAAATGCACTAACAACACTCAGAATGGGGCTGGGTCAGGAGAACTGAAAGGAGAAATTTTCCTAGAGATGATAAATCTGAGTCTTGAAGAACGTGCAACTGAATGACTACCACCTAGTACTTGGAGGAAGTACTAAGGGAAACACGGGGAGGGGGAGGGAATTCTGTTAGAGGAAACTGCTCCTGTGGATATGAGAACATCATCAGGCATGTTCTGGAAGCTACATTTCAGTTTATATGGCTGGGACAGAATACAAGCAAGGGAATTGTGAGACCATGGGGAGGCTGTTTGCCATGTTAAGAAACGTTCCCACAGAAGAGCTGAGTGGAGCAAGGAAGTCTAAAAGCATGGAAGCCTGATAGAGGTTACTGTAAGAACTCAAGAACTGAAAAATCAAAACCAAACTCACTGCCATAGACTCAATTCTGACTCATAGTGACCCCCACTGGGTTTCCAAGGCTGTAAATCTCTACAGAAGCAGATTGATTCTTCTGGTTAGCAGCCAAATGCCTTAACCACTACACCACCAGAGTTCCTTGAGAAATGAAAAGTTGTGCCAGGCACTAAGAGAAAGGTCTGATTTGAAATTTAGGCGTTAGAACCTCCAAGATTTCTTAAGTTGAATGTAGGGACTTAGGGTGAAGGTGAACGAAAGACCTTTTCCTGGAAAGAATGCCAGTCTGCAAAAAGGAGAAGCTTCACAGAAAACAAAGAGGTGACTATAGAATCAGGAGGCTCCAGCCTGCTCTGTTTCCTACCATGTGATCCACAAACCCCTGGTGATATTTAAGAAGATTTAGGGTGGGTCATGGGGAAACATAAAAAAATTTCTTTCTGTATTTATGTCACTGTTTTAGGAAAAACAACTAACACATTCAGCGTATGATTTCTCATAAATTATTGCCAATTTAAAGAAAAATATCAATGAAACAGTGTAAGTGGGAAACAGGATGTCCAAGAAAAACATGGATAGCCTCACCAAGAAACACTGCCATCAAGTCAGTTCTGACTCACAGCAACCTCCATTGGCTTTCCAAGGCCGTAAACGTTTATGGAAGCAAACCGTCTCATCTTTCTTCTACAGAGCAGCTGATAGATTCAAACCACCAACATTTCAGTTAGCAGCCAAATACCTTAACCACTACACCACCAGAGCGTCTTAGGAAATGAATAGGCAAACTTTAATTAGATGACAAAACTGCAGCCCAAGAATCCAAATCCAAAAGGTTCTTTTGCAATCTGTACCCTGAATTTTGCAGTCACAAGGAAATGTGTACCCTCACAGCTACTGGCATTGTTGGCCCTCAGCACTCTTAAGAATTAACAATGCTGTACCTAGTCCCAAGGAGCCTTGGTGGTACAGTTGTTAAAGCGCTCAATTGAATGAAAAGGTCGGGGATTCAAGCCCATCTGCTACTCTGTGGGAGAAAGATGAGGCAGTCAGCCTTTGTAAGATTTACAGCTTTGGAAACTTTATGGGGGCAGTTCTACTCTGTGCTATAAAGGGTGACCACCATGGGTTTGGTTTACCTACTCCCAAGTAAGCCCTTGTTACCAAAAAAAAAAAAAAAAAAAACAAACTCACTGCCATCCAGTCAATCCGACTCATAGCAACCCTTCCACGGAAGCAGATCGCCCAACCTTCCTTCTGAGGAGTAGCTGGTGGGTTTGAACCACCAGCCTTCTGGTTAGCAGTCAAATGCCTTAGGCACTACACCACCATAGCTCCTAGGTCCTTGTTAGATGTACTTAATATGAATAAATGTACTGGTAACCACCACCTTGTGCTGTCAATCACCTTCACTGCACCTGCCTTGGCCCTACCAAGCAGCAGTCTGTCAGCTTCCAGGAATCAACAGAACAATTTTGTATTTTCTTCTACAGGTATAGAAGTGACCCTCAAACTTGGCTGCACACTAGAATCACCTAGAAAGGTTTTTAAATTCCCGAAGCCCAGGGAAATTACATCAGAATCTCTAGATCAGTATTTTTTAAGCTCCTCAGAAAATCCCATCGTTTAACCAAGACTGAGCTGTTGTTGTCACATACCCTCGTGTGGGACACACTCATAGTGACCCCTCCTTGGGTTTCCGAGGCGGTAGCACTACGGAAATAGATTGCCCAACCTTCCTTCAAAGGAGTGGGTGGTGGATTTGAACCGCCAGCCTTCTGGTTAGCAGTCAAATGTCTTAGGCACTATGCCACCAGAGCTCCTCCTAAGACTGAGCTAGAACCTGTCCTTTTTTCCATCTTGCCTTTTCATCGCCTTTTGCCTCCGCCTAGTTGCATCTCTTGCTCTAACTCAAAGTGTACTCTTGTCCTTCAAAACTCAGCTCTCGCTCTCGATATACTAGTTAACACTTTGTAAAGTATGTACTTTGTTGTCACATGGAGTGCGCTGGGCCGGCAGGCCGCTCTAGGGCTGTGAAGCGATGGAAAGCAAAAAGTAACCCGTGAGGAACAGGCAGATTCCGGGCGTGGGGCTGAGCCAGAAGCTTCAGGGGGAGGGTCCGGCCTCACCTTCTGGTTTGCATTGGGCCCCGCCTGGCGGTACACCCCGGAGCCATAGGCGAAAGCGAGGCTCAGCTCCTCGGGGAAGTATGACAGGATCTTGCGGAAGGCCACCCCCGAACTCGGCAGCGATTGCAGCACCATGGGGCCGAGGTTCGGAGACATGGGACCCTTTAGCGGAACAGAGGACAATAGGGCGAGGTAGAGATACTGGGCAAAGAAATACTGGGGCAGGAGACTAAAAGTGGGGAAATGGAAGTCTGAGTACTGCCGGCATAGCAGGGACCTGTAGAGGAGAGAAAGAGGCCGTGGCACTGGCAAGGATTTAAGAAGGTCCAGCAGTCCTAACTAAGATTGGGAAATGCGAATGCCGAGGTAGGATCAGGGGTGGGGTTGGGAGGGTGGCTGTCGCGCCGGCCCTGTAGTTGCCTCTGGCCCTGCCTTTCGCACGCACACGCGCTTCAAAGAGACGGCGCTCGCCCGCATGTGGGGACGTTAGCGTCATAGTAACCCCTGGTGGTCGGAGGAGCGCACTGCATGCTGGCCGTGAGACTTGTTTGGGCAAATCATTGTTGTTATTTGCCTTGGAGTCGGACCGGCCTCACCAACGACCCCTCCTCGGGTTGCCGAGGCAGTATCACTACAGAAGTAGATTGCCCAACCTTCCTTCCGAGGAGTGGCTGGTGGTTTGAACCGCCATCCTTCTCGTTAGCAGTCAAATGCCTTAGACACTAGGCCACCAGATCTCCTCCCTAAAAGTCCTTTTTTCGTTCTTGCCTTCAATCACATGTAAGGAAATTATTACAAAGCCATGCGCATGCATTACAGACAATTTTAAAAAATTGAGATGAAATTCACATCACATAAAATTAACTATTTTAAAGTGTACAGTTCAGTGGCATTTAGTACATTCCAAAATTGCATTAGATTTTGAAGTTTTAGAAAAAGTCAAAATAAAAATCATACCCAATTCCACCATCTGGAAATAATGACCATTAAGATTTGGGTGTGTTTTCTTCTAATTAAAGGCTTTTTCAAATCAGGTGATAGGTATAAAAATATTCCATAGAGAGGTGCACAAGAAGTACAGAGAACAAAGATAAACAATTTTACACACACAATACTGCATTACCAGTAATACCAAATGTCAAGCTCAGTTGGCATAATATACTTCACAAAAACAATGTTCTACGACCTACTCTGGTGAGTACTGACTGGGGCCTTAGAAGCTTGCAAGTGACTATCTAGATGCAACAATTTTTCTCTCCTTGTCTGGATCAAATAATAATGAAGAAAACCAAAGAGGCATGGAAACAATTAGTCCAAGAGACTAGTGGACCATATGAGACCAGAAGAACTAGATGGTGCTGGGCTACCACTGTCAACCACTCGGAAAGGTATCAGAGCAGGAGACCCTGAATAGAGTGGGAGAACAATGTGGAGCAAAACTTAAAATCATAAAAAAGACCAGGCTTACTGGTCTGAGAGAGACTGGTGAGACCCTGAGACTGTGGCCCCTAGTTATACTTCAGGCCTGGAATTGAACTCTGTGACTCTCAGCCAAACAATATGCAAACCTACATGGTGAACAATTATGCCAGATAGGTACACACCTTAGAACCAACCATGGGAGATGAGAAGGACAACATTTGCACAGAGAGATAGCTCAGAGGGCAGGAATGCATGAGAAAAAAGGACACAGGAAAAATTAACCACAGGGAGGAAGTGGAAAGAGAGTTGTTATGTTGTAGGGATTGCAATCCATACCTTGAAACAAAATGTGTATGAACTGTTGAATAGAAAACAAATTTGCTCTACAAACTTTCACCCAAATTAAAAAAAAAAAAAAGTTCCTTACATGGGAAAGGACCACAGAGATATCCTCTGACATTTGTAATTCATTTTTTAATGTCTTGCATATTGATCTCACAAAGGGCACATAAAATGCACCTTTTGGAGGAAATGGGAGAAACTTGCTCTAGATCACACACCACTTGTCATGTAGTTTGACTTCTAGGACAGATACTTTTCAGCTACTCTTTCCTTCTTTGATGTACCCTGCCAAGAAAAAAATAATTAAAAACCAGTTGCTGTCGAGTTTATTCCAAATCACAGTGACCCATATAAGTCAGAACAGTGCTCCATAGAGTTTTCAATGGCTAAGTGTCTGGAAGTAGTTCACCTTTCTTCTGAGCACCTCTGGGTAGACTGAACCTCCAACCCTTTGGTTAGTAGGTAAATATATTAACCATTTACACTATTTGGGGACTCCAACAATAATGATAGGTGCTATTTAATTAAGCACTTACTGTGTCAAGCAATGATTTCTTTCTATCATTCTCAAAGCCCTATTTGGTGGTTAAGTTTGTGTGTCAACTTGGCTGGGCCTGGTTGAGTGGCTGGGCAGCTGAATGTAGTTATTCCCCATAGTGAGATTGGTAATTCACTCCATGGTGGAATCTATTGGAGTAGCTGAGTAGCTGCTTTGGGTATGTGGTCCGCTTCCAGTATATAAGAAACAGCTTTGGGAATTGTCTCTAGGTTATGGCATGCTTGAACCCTGCATGTAGCCAAGTCGTTGTTCAGCAGCCTGCCATGCTATGCCTATCCTGGGACTTTCAATGGACTTGAATTAATGGCCTGCCATGTGGTTTGGCAACATCAGGACTGTGCCTTTTTACTTGTCAACCTTGGGCTTGTCAGCTTCAGTAGGCAGCAGCTGTCTGAGAGAAGAAAAGCCTCTAGCTTCAGTGGGCCAGGAGCAGAAGGCAGAGCTGAAGCCCACGGTTGAGGGGCTTTCCCCCAGCCCCTAGAGCTTGGCACTTTGAACTCGGACTTAAAGCTTCCAAACTGTAAGAGAATAAACTCCTGTTTGTTAGAACCATCCCATTTGTATTACATTTCTGTTAGAGCACCACTAAGTAACCAGGACACCCTATGAGGCAGGTTCCCTAAGAGTATCATAACTTTTCACACGAAGAAACAGAGGTCCTGAGGATAAGCAAATATCCCAAAGTTACATAGTGAGAAAAGTAGTGAAGCCAGGATTTGAACCCAGGGCTACCAAACTCCAAAAGCCATGGAAACAATTAGTCCAAGTGATGGAAACAATTAATCCAGGTGACTGTTACACCATGCGATCCTCAGCCTATATGACATGAGACCAGAAGAACTAGATGGTAACTGCCTACCACTATTAACAACTCAGAGGGGGATCTATGTAGGAGATCCTGGGTAGAGTGGGAGAACAATGTGGAACAAAACTCAAAATCATTTTTTAAAAAAAGGGGAGGGGGGACCAGGTTTGCTGGTCTGACAGAGCCTGATAGAACCACTGAGACTATGGCTGCTAGCTGCCCTTCAGGTCTGGAATTGAACCCACTCCTGTGGTTTCCAGCCAAACAAAAGACAGGCATATGAGCTGAATATTTACATTAGGTAGAACATTTACATTGGAGAGAACAATCAGGGGAGAATAGAAGGGCTGTGTATGCATAAGGAGACAGCTCAGGTGGTGGGGAGCAGGAGTGCATGGAGGGAAGGACACAGGGAAGAGGTAACTATGCGGAGGAAGTGGGAGGGGAGCTATTGCATTGTGGTAAATTATGGTCAATGTCATGAGACAAAGTGTATGTGAGCTGCTGTATGGACAGTGAATTTGCTCTGTAAACTTTCACACAAATCACAATTGAAAGGAAAAAAAAAGGCCATCGTTTTTGTACCATGTTTTATTGCCTTCTAAAATGGGCAACTTGTGAGGCAGAGAGAAAAAAATAGAAAATAATTGAATCAATGGCAGTGGGTAAACCATCAGCCAAGGTTCAGAAGCAGTAGCAATAGCCAAAGGGACAACCAAGAGACCAGAATAAGGGAGGCAGAGAGAAATGCAGTACGTCTCAGTCTCCATATGTGAATATAGTCATGTTGGTTCATTCTGACTAAATATTTCCTTTGCCCCAGTTACCAGAAACTAGAGTGCATTCACCATGGGATTACATGGAAACCTTCTACCCAAAGACAGTGAGTAAATCCTGTTATCAGTAGGGTGGTATTTTTGGTTGGTTGGTTTGTTTTCCTTTTTCCCCTTAAGGAAATGATTTATCTTTGTTGGTTTATTTTCTGTTTGCAAAAGAAATTCATGCTCATAACACTTAAAACATTGCAGCAACATCTAATACTGTCCCCCAGAGGTAGCCACTGGTAATCTCTGGAACATATTCCTTGAGATATTTTTCTATGAATATCTTAATGTTAAAAACATTTTTTAAAAGTGCAATCATATGGAAGATACGATTTTGCACTTTGCTTTTTTCTCTTAACATATCAGTGACATGTCAGGATATCTATCTCATTCCGTTTGTTAGTGGCAAATTATTCTAAAATATGGATATTTCATAGTTTGTTTAAACAGTTTTATATTGCTGGATATAGATGACTTCCTGTTGTCCATGTGTGCAAACAATGTTACAGTGACCCTCCTTGTACATATACCTTTTTTTTGTGTGTGCAAGTATTGCCATAGGATAGATTCCTGGGTGTGGAATTGCTGGGTCTAAGTGTCAGCACGTTGCTAAACTCCCTTCCAACAGATTGTGCCAATTCTCATTCCCAACAGCTGTGCCCAGTCTTTAACATAAATGTAGATTCTGCAACGGTTCTCCATTTTTCTCCCTTACAGGCTCTCACACCTAATTATCAGTAATTTTCATTTTCACAAACACTTTCCCTCCTGATAATGCGAAACCACCAGCTGGAGCATTCCATCAGTTTCCTGCGTGCCTTTTGCTTTTCCTCAGAAAGAACCAGAAGCAATGTGGCTGAGAACACATTTGTATTCTTCAGTAGAAATCTCCCGTCCCTAGCAGTTCATCCGTTCCCTTTTAAATTATCATGGATTGCAAGTTAGAAACTATTAAAAAGCCCTAGTGTTCTATATAGGAGCTCTGGTAGCATAGCGCCTAACGCACTTGACTGCTAACCAGAAGGCTGGTGGTTCAAACCCACCAGCCGCTCCTCAGAAGGAAGGTTGGGCAGTCCTATTGTTAGAGCTCCATCGGCACTCAACGACCATGCCACACACCAGGGTACCTGACAGGAGATTTTATTAAGGAGGCAAAAGGTGCCTGTGCCGAGGAAGGACAGAT